AACAATGAATTGGTCGAAAGGAATGAGGTCCCTCACTTCGAACATGGCGTCGGTTGGTGTTTCCAGAATGCCGGGCTAGGGACCGAAGGACGATCAGCACGTCCGGTTAGATACACTAGCTGACATATCGAAAAGCCAATCTCAGTGGCGTTTGTGTTGTGAGTCTGTTTTCCCCCATACCCTATAGCTTTCTCCTCCAACAGGTATCACATACCCTAAGTATAATGTGATATTTAGCATAGTTACATTTTTACAACTCTTTTAGTCTGTGTTGTTTAGTCTACTTTTTGTATTGTGGCCCACCAGCTGAGGTGTATTTCGCACCCTCCGCAAATGTGTATTGATGATAAGCAGTCGTCTTTCGGACCTCAACCGAGGAATCGGAGAGTCTGAGGGCAACTGTTAAAGTCAGAGCCGTCATTGCTCTTGACTATGTCATCGGTTGGCCTCTCCTCTTCGTCCGTCTACAACCCAGGAAGTGCAAAACACGCACGTCAATGGTATCAGGGTACTGGCATAACATAGGGCCAAGTCATATGAGCCTGGTGCGTGAAGGAAAGGCGCTGATCGGTTCACCTGCTTTTCTTGCATTCAGTACAAAACTCAGAACATGCATATCCCTTACGCGATGTTCCCATCAGATGTGAGCCAAACTGAGAAGGCAACGGTGATAGAATTCAATTATCCGCCTTATGTCTGTCGCTGAGGCCAGGTTTCACAATCGACCAGTAAAGTTGAACGGACATCTGCAATACACTCTACCTTTAAGAGTAAGAATTATGTCGCAGCTGCATCATAAGGGGCGAAGTTGAGCAAAAGCGCTTCGAGCTTATGCTATACGATTCGTGACTTCAATTTCTATTATATTGAGGCTGATACGACCGCCAACATGGCTGGATTTTTAAGACTTTTAGTTGATCCACATAAAGGGTCTGTGCAGGGGGCAGTGCATGCCAATCTTGGAGAAAAGCATTGCATTTGGAGGGTGCGAAGAAAGCTAGGAACAATTGATAATTAGTGCTAATTTGTCCAGTGCTGCTCGGCATGTTTGTGGGCTGTCACAGATCTGGACAATTTCATCTGCATACTCCAAATCAAGAAGTCGATCACATGAAAGCAGCTTCACACCTTTCAAGTCGAGTCCGGGGGGAGGGGCAACTGCCATAAACCCATCAATAACGAAGTTAAAGAGGAAAAACAAAGGCACATCTTTCCTAACCAGAGATTCCCAAAGAGCATCATCATCATCATCATACACGTTAGCTAGAGGTGGGGAACACCTCAGCTACTGTGCCACAATACATAGAAAAAATGGAGAGGAAAATAAGCAACTGATGCAAGCTGGCTGAGCTACCGGTAACGGATAAGCATCGTTCCGGTAAGCTACCAGCCGGCTGCTGTGCCCCAAAAAAATTGCTATGTAAAATTATATAAGGCTAAATAATGAGATCGTGGTTGGAGGGGGAGGCTAAGAGGGATGGGGTGGGACAAAGAAACTCACAGCACGAACGCCACTGAGGTCGGCTCCTAGCCATATCAGCAAGTGTGTCCAACCAAACGTGTTCATCGTCTTTCGGACCACAACCAAGGAGCCGAGACGCTCCAACCGAGGCCAGCTCAGAAGTGAGGGTCTTCATTCCTCTGGACCAAGTCATCGCTTGGCCACCTCTCCTCTTCTTCCATCCACACCCCCGGTGAGCAAACAACACACGTCGCGGAAGTCGGTGGGTTGGCATGCATAACACGTGGCCGAACCATCGGAGCCTGATGCGTGAAATAACGGTGCTGAGCGGTTCAGTTCCTTTTCCTGTGCCATAAACAAGGCGTCGAACACGCTCGTTACTCACGCGGTGTTCCCACCAGATGTGAGCTAAATTACGAAGGCATATCGATCCGCTGTATTGAATCCATTTTTGATGTTGAGGAACACGACTACGGTCGGTCGCCAACATAAATGCAAAGTGAATAGGTGATCAAAGTAGCCTCCGATAAAATTCGACTTGCTTCTCGCGAACATGGGCTTTAAGGTGCCATTCAGTTTATGAAGAACGATAATGGCAAGTAATTTGGTAGCCAAGAGACCAGACAGTTATCACATTGCGATGTGAAAACCCGGTGAATATCAGTACTATGATTTAGCTTATCTAGTCAGTTGGAACAGTTTCCTGTCGCCACAGTTTCACTAACATCGAGTTAAAATTGTCCACAAGAGCTTGACGTCGAAATGTAAGTGTTGGTAAAAGATTAAATAATCTTACGTTCCTAGAACAAAAGACCATCTGGTGAGCAATTGCTTTCAATGATTCATCGTCAGATCATTACAATCATATAGAGGCTAGAAAGAGAAATCGACCCAGTTAGTTCAAAACGAATTGGTCACGTGAAGGTCAATGTCAGAGTGGAAAAAACGAATTAGGTCTTAGACAGCTAGATGTTCGCTACCGCGTCTGACCGAAGGCAGTCGACCTGGGCGTCTTCCATCTTCGCTGGCCAGGGAAGCTGGAGAGCCTGGACCAGCTTCTTCTGTGAGCATAAGGACGGCTGGAACAATCGAATGCATATTGCTTCAGCCGTCGCAAGCATACGAAGGCGGTAACCTTTCGTTCGGTGCGGTGGAACCTTGTAAACTATTCGGGAAGCGCGTTTCCAATCCACTTCATGGCCGGTGTCCACAATGTGGGCCAGAATGGCGCTACTAATGGTTCCGATGCCCCCTTGACGAAGCCAGCGAGGACAATGTTCGTTCACGCGTTTCGATAACTGCCGTGCCGTTCGACCAATATACGTCGCGCCACAGGCGCTGCCGATGCTGACCACATCAATGGTGATTTATCAATTCGTGTGCGCACTTCCGATGTGGGATCAAACCCAGATTCCTGGTCCCTTTTGAGACCATTACGTAAGTTTGCTTCAGATCTATACGTCTGATTGTGTTAGTCTCAAGTCGGAATGCGTCGGCGAGCATCCAGAAGTTTCATAAATTGCATAGAGACCCAGTGACCAAGTTAACAGTGGGATTGACAACACCAGTACATTACTGCTGTTGTTAAGCTTTGTGAACATGTGACCGTCAACTGTATTCAGATAGCACATACTCAGCTCGGATGCTAGTGTACATTGATGGGCGTTCCGAACTTCTGGATACGCCAGTTGACGTGTCTATGCGATCACAACGCCTTCGTGAGTCCGCCGAAATTCACTCAGATCACCTCATACGAAGCAAGCGACAGTTTTGGAAGCAACCTCTACAACGACAACTGATCGCCATGTGATCGATTTGCATCTATGACTGGTAGATGGAATATCCCTCTTCAGCAGTGGCTGTCAGAAGTGCGTGATCGCGAGAAATAGTCAAGCATATGCACATGAGTGTAGCAACCACTCAGTGTTTTAATTATGTGAGCCTTCATCGTGTTGGTCACTCAGATGAAGATCAGTGGAGAAATTTTCAACTCGGGTTTTCAAACCAGCCGGTACTACAGTATCCGTACTTTTCCACTGACGATAGAAGTCATCTTTCACCGAGTCAGCGCTAGTCTGTAGCAGCGAAGAGAAACGGGTGGCTATTAGCCTCGCGTGGCTTTGAATTTCTGCACGAGCCAGCCACCCTGAAGGCGCACATCCAGCTGTTGATTGAGAACCAATCGAGCATGTCAGCTTCAGGCAGGGGAATCAGAGTAATGCATAAACCGGCATTTGAAGCTGCATAAATTTCAGATATGTGCAATGAAAATGTTCCATAGGTGAAAACAGCAGGGTGTGCAAAGAGGTCGTGTCTGAGAGGAAGATTTCCAAAAAAAGTATATATAGATCCATAAGCTGTTTAGTTATCTGGCCAGTGCTGTCTGTTGACCGAGCTGTGACAAAATGCGCAGTGAAGCATGCCAGTCTTAGAGCAGATCGAAGGCTCCAAATAGGAACGGATGTTGTACGCTTGATTGAAAACAGACTTTTCGACTGGACAGGAGTGACGCCCTGCGATTGCATGTGAGTCGAAGCCAGGTAATCAGTGACTGTCAGAGCAAAATGGGGTTATAAAGAAGGGAAATAGGAATGAAGTACGAACGGGACGATAAGGATGAAAAAAGGTAGGAGGACGGGAAGGTTGAAGCAGCAACATGTTTGCCTCTACCCACCCTGCTCGTTGCAGCAGTCTGGGAGTAATTGATTAACTGCGAACATCAAGTGACAGGCTGGAAAGTCTAATGTATTGCGTGAGTAAGATGCTCACAGGCTGCCTGGCCTAGACAAACATGACTAAGGTTCTCAATTAAAGCCTTTGGTCACGAAAATTGTCAGTAAGACGAAGGCATTTTGACACTGGGCTACACAGAGCCGTTTTAGGAAACAAGAAGCCACTCTCACTTCAACCCAAAGGTCCAGAAGACTGAGTTTGTCTTGACAATCTGATATGAGTGTCTATGAAGTTGTAAAAATCAACACGCAGTATACCACAAATGACTGTTGAGGAACGTAAACCATCGCACCCCATTAAGGTCCAGTGGTCGTAATACATAGCTATAGACTAATCAACATAAGTAACTACACCATCGTGTAAAACAGACGTTGATCTCCGAGGTTCTTGAAATACATTAAGCGTGTCACTTGACGCAAGGATTGAACACTGGAAAACAGCTAATGCTTTAATGTATTATACCATTACCAGAATAAAGTCCGAAGAAATCATACTCTTCTCTGCATGGGACACAAAGGGCAAAAATTCAGATGGTGGTGAACATCGGGAACAATGGATTTGGGATAAGCAGGTCCAAACACAAGGAGAGGATTGACGTAGAAAACAATGGAACTATCGCGAAATACATATCAATGGAAAGACAAGTCTGGAAAGGCAAACCTGATGAATGAGTAGGCAATAAAGCACTTCGTTAACAACCGCAACAGGTGATTTAGTAAAAAGTTATAGACAAAGACCACGGCACAGGAGCTAAAGACGTTAAGAAGTCATACAGATAAATTTCGTATCGCTGAACAGTGCTTACCCCAGGAACAACTTCAGCCTTGCCCTCTTCTCTCCACTCCGCAACCTTGTGATTTATTTGATCACGTACCTCAGACTTGATTTCGCCAGTATCGCCGCTAAACAACGCCAGAAAGCCTTGAGTCCTACTGTTGATGACGTCTATTTCGTGTAACGTGACCGTGTGCACCACTTCTTTTCGCTTTTGAAGTTCACCCTCGGGGCACTGAACGAATTTGGTCTGACCTCCGGTGGCATCATAATCACGCGCACGAGTGAATGACCTCCCAAGTCGCGTTATTTTTCCGGAAGGTTTGTCGATCGTTATTACGTCACTAAGTGGTTCGATGTAAGCAAGGTGGAACATACCCAGCCTGGACCTTTTCCTTTGTAAGAGACTCGATCATTTTTTGACCCAAATCGTAAATGGTTTCCATTTCAGTCGTCTTGAGTGTGAGCTTACCGACTTTGGCTCCGGTACCAGTGGCCGGTCGGTCAATTAAAATTTCCACAACTTCTCCTTCGATGATTTCGGCTTCTTCTCTAAGCGGCTCAAAAATTTAAATATCGGAATACTTTATTCGAATTCCGATGGATTTCCTAAAAGCCTGGGTGAGGGCCTCAGTTTTACTCATCTCCAAAGAAAATATTTCACTTCCGGCAATTGCTGTAAAGGGAGTGTCGTGCCCAAGTGTTTGTGCCATCCCCATTGCAATAGCGGTTTTCCCGGTCCCGGGAGGACCAGCTATAAGTATTGCGCGTCCTGCTATTTTGCCTTCCCGAATCATACCAAGAATAAGACCGGCAGCGCGCCTCGCTTTACATTGGCCAACCATACCTTGCGATATCTGACGCGCTTCCAAATCATCGTTGAGTCCAAGTCCACGAATGTGGGAATGCGCACCGATTCGCTCAATGCGAGTGATCTCCCGAACAGCAGCCTCCTGAACAGCGGTTTCGAGCTACAAATAAAAAGTTAAAACAAAGCGAAAAATATTGTCATGTAGATTGTTGTAGGATGCACTGCGGCGAACGGTCGCTAAGGCGCGAGACGCACATTGGCCATTTTAAAACTGGCACATAAAAGCAGTTAACTTAAACAAAAGCTTGAGTTTTGTACTAGCTTCTTGCAGTAAATTAACAAAGAATTTAACCGCAATGATTCCAAATCGAAGATGTTTATCCTGACGTGTGTCTCACTTTCAGAAAATTTTCTGCCATGATAGGCGTATTCTTGATGCACCTTTTTCGACTTGCACGTTCCTCCGTCTCTATGTCCGTATGTTTTATGTGACAACTGACAACTTATCGATTGTTCCTACTTCGTGTCGGATAATATAAATTATAAACTAACCGTCATGTGCTATTCCGGAAGACACCTTATTTCCAACCACTTAGCCGCGTTACTACATCGAATTTAGTGGACCTACTCTCTTCTCTGCTGAAGATGCACTCGCATGCGTATGACCTAGGATTCTAATCTCCGGGATTCTATGGGATTCAGGATGCCTTAGCTGAATTTCAATCTCCCGCCACAGGTTGCATGGCCGCTTCCTGCTTCGCCGATTAGCGCTGCTGTCATCAGCGGGCTGAGGTGTAAGTGGTTAGAAGCGTTTCTACCTTACTGGTTGTTTAGCATCTACCTCCTTAATCCTCTTTTTGCCTTCATTTCAGCCTGGCAATGACCGATACTTTCACTTTTGTCCCCCCACCGGAGGCCCCGGTTTTCACTCCTTCAGAAGAAGAATTTAGAAACCCCTTAGAATATTTGATGAAGATTCGGCACATTGGGACGAAAACGGGCATTGTTAAAATTATTCCACCTAAGGTACAGTTGTCTCGTTTCTCTGCTTTTGTAGTTTTACCGACAGCATTTCGTTTCTCCGCCCTGTTCTTATGCGTTTCAACTTACATTGGAATATTGTATTTAATTCAAATAAAACCTCGAGCTTTACATGACCCATAGGGTAAAAAACGTTAGTTCTGCGTTTATTGTATGGAGAAACTAACTTGTATCGGGTTGGACTCGCACGTTATCCGTATTTGCATCTGGCTTATGTGGCATTTAAACCGGATGCACGCCGGCTAAAAGTGTGACATTTCACCACGCCCTCTAAAATGGCTATGGAAAGGAATTAGGTTGCGAAAAAGATAAGAAAAGTAACCCCGTCAACGCGTATACCGCTGCTGCTGCTGCGTCTAAGGGGGGCAGCTGGAAGTTGACTGGTGCCTTCGGCAGTCAACAAGTTTGTCGCTATCGCTTACTACATGTCCGTCTTATCTGTTAGTTGCCACTATGTTGTTCATTGGAATGTTTACGCAATGGCTGATTTTGACGGTTTTTTCCATTGTGCTGAAGTCTGCTCTCTTCGTACTTTTTGTGTTTGCACTACTGTTTAACCTCATTTAAGTAGTACAAACGCACAGAAAATTTCTTCCGCACTCCAGAACTGGAACCCACCCTTTGCCGTGAACATGAAGGAATTTACATTTACGCCCCGCATACAGAGGCTATATGAGCTGGAGGTATGTACCTTCCCGCGAAACTCTACTTTAGGCCCATTCTCGTATAAAATTAAATTTTATCAGTCGCTTATACAAGTACATGCAGGCGCAAGTATGTTCTTGTGTTGTTGTCAGTTTTCCTGTAGGGCATTGAAAAAATTCGTGTTCCTAGCATTGGTGGACGGTTCCTAGATTTACAAGCTTTGCATAAAGCTGTTCGGGACTTCGGTGGATACCACAAAATCGCCAGAGATAATCTTTGGCCCGTTGTCACTGAGAGGCTCGGATATTCGTCGAAATTAGCCCATGCTGTTAGAACGAACTACGAAAAACTACTGCTTAATTTTGACGAGTTAGTTTCGTCGTCCAAAACTTCGAAGGTAACATTATTTCCTTCAAAGCCTCCGTTCAAAGCCCTACAACGTTAACGGTACGTCTTGTTCGAAGAGGCTCCGCCACTCTTCGTCTTCCGTAAGTTTCAGCCGTTTGCTTTTACCACTGTCCGAAGGAAGTGGATTCAATCGATTTTTCACGTAATAAAGAGCTTCGGAACCTCCGTTTCTTCGGACCTGGACCAAAGGCCGCTGTCCCTTCATCTGGACAATCAAAAGGTAAACTGACTTACAGCCCTTATTTTTCTCTACCTCCCCTAGCCCCAAACGAAGAACATGCTGCGCACTTCAATGTGAGTGCTTTTTTCTAAACTCGAAATTTACTCCCATAGGCCGATATGTTTAGCTGTCGTGCATGCGGCCATGGCGACAATGAGGCCAGCCTACTTGTGTGCGCTACTGATAGCTGTCAAGCTTGTTATCATCTCTATTGTCTCAAGCCACCGTTGCGTTCTGTCCCAAACTGCCAATGGAAGTGTCCAGACTGCATTCGAGCTTTGTGTTCTAAACCTCCAGACCCATACGGTTTTCCTCAGTCGAGCAAGGCTTATTCACTCCACGAGTTTGGTGTGATGGCTGACGAATTTAAGTCTACTTACTTTGGAAGACCATGCACAGTAAGTCTTCGTCATTCATTTCGAACGCTGCATTACAACCTTCTCTTAACGTTGAACACATTCGTGTTCGCTCTGTGGAGCTTTCCACTTGACTATATCGAGTCTATCTTACTTCGCATTTTTTTAACCTGTGGTGAGGCGTTGATCTCTGACTAAATTATAAGTGATTATCATCTTCACTCCAGTTCACCCCGTTGCGATGTTCCTCTTTCCTTCATTTAGTCATTTCAGCAAATCCACCTCTGGTTGGTACCCTGATGTGCAGTGGGTCCAGATTCCCAGACGCACTTCCTCATCTTATAGTACTGTTGACGATTGTACTAATGATAATCGAGAAGAATATAATGGATTATAAATCGTCACATAAAATAGTCAATGTGACGAACTGCGAGAACGAATGCAGTTGCACGGATAACTGTTGAGGGCTTTGCATCCGACCATGTGTCTAAACATGGATGTTGTAGCGGAACAGTCTACACAGAAAGGCTAATATATCGCTCAGTTACTACTAAAGGGGTCAATTCATATTTCGGTTACTTCTAAGCTTTCCACGTGTCCGAAACTAGCACTATGCCTCGAAAAGAAACGCAATCCAAGTTGGTAACGATTCCGGTCACCAGACACTGAGCAACAGGATCAAACAACCACGAGGAACCGAAGCGAGGACGCGGAACGAAATTCGAAGAAGCATGTATCGGTTAAAATAAATAAAACAAAATGTACAGTAAATAGTGGAAGTTGAAACAGGAAATTACCATTGAAAGTTCGGAACTTAACAAGCGCTACAGAACTCTCCCTAGAGCGCACGATAAGGTGCACGCTCGATACACTATTTGACATGAGTAGCTCGTTTAGGAAAAAGAATAACCGCCTCCAATACGTGTACGCTTTTGTGTGTTTGCGTTCGTGACAAGTGTTGCTTGGGGAGGAGAGGTAACGCTGGAGCCTCACCTCCTTTGGGTAGGTGTACTGCTCTGTGGCGGAGTTTGTTTAGCTTCGGCGTCGTTAGTCTGTTGCGGTGACTGGAACTTGAGCTGGTTTTAGATGATCAATACTGACAGAGTTTTTAGAACGATTTCTATCCAATTCATAGTACTCCTCTTTGTGGGCGATGACATTGAATGAGCCTTCTTAAGGCGGTGTCAAAGGTTTGCGAACGGCATGGACGCGCACAAGAACGAAGGGACACGCGTTCAAGTCGGGGTGAACGCATTGGCTTCGAGAGGTGAATCGTGGTGGTGTTGGACGAATGGCTCTGAAGTATTGCTTCAGTCGTACAACATGTGACGTAGAATCAACTTCTCTGGTTACCCTGGAATCCAGTACTAATTCTTCAGGAAGCTTCGTCGTCGTACCAATGATTAATTCTACTTGACAACAACCGACATCTTCCTTTACAGTGTTGCGCATACCGAGGAGAATGATCGGTAAACTCTTCGACCACTAGATATTTGACTGCGTCGTGGTGATTTGGTTTGGAGTTGGCGATGAAAACGCTCGACTAAACCTTTAGCAGCCGGTGATATGCTGTCTTTAGGAGCATGCCGTTAAGATCGCGAGACATGGCGGGATTAAACTGGGGATCCTCTATCCGTCGGGATAGTGGCGGGCTTGCCAACCACGGATATCCAAGTTTTTTTGCATGAAGTTTCGTGCCACGGTTTCTTCTGAGGCATCTCGCAGCGGTACAGCTTGTAGCTGATGTGTGAAAGGATCGTCACTTGCCAACAGGCAACTAGAAATGTTGCTTGACGGTTTAGGTCAAATGATGTTTATATGGACATGTTTGAATCGAGCAGCGTAAAGGTTCCAGGAGCGGTAATCGTGTGGCGATGTGTCTAGCTATTCTAACTAATGTTTCGCACACCGCTGATTATCTGAGCACATTCTGAGCCAGATAATCCATCCATGATTAGTTTGATAGTGGCGCGAATGCCCGGATGGAAGATTCCATGCCAGTCCTCAAACACAACTCACTGATACTGTTGCGGAACGAATAGTCGAGGCTTTCCGGTGGATATATCACAGTAAATTCTAAAGTTGGAGTTGAGAACAGGCAGTTGAAAATATTTAATAGAGGAATTTGTTTTCAACTGCTTAAGTTTAATGGGCAGCGATGTCATCTAGGTTGATTACTTGGCGCGAAACTTTATGAACATCAATGCAGGACATAGCATCGACTACAACATTGTGAGCTGCATCAGTGTCGAAAATAGGGGGTAAAGTGTGATAAGTAATCTATCTGATGAGATACTCGAGGTGAGGAGCGATCGGAAGAATCACAAAAGCAAAAGCGAGTGACTTTTGATCCATGAGGACGGTAGATGGACGTTCTTCAAGCAAATGACGGATATATTGAACGACGAGATAAATAGCTAAGCGTTCTCGTCCTAAAGCACTGTATCGCGTCTGAGGTTGTAGCTATCCAGAGAAGAAAGAGAGAGGCTCAGATTGACCATTTATGACTTGCTGAAGGTCAGGACCAGTAGCAGTCTGACATGCAGCGGTCTTGAAAATTAAAGTTGTGTTGACATCGGTTATCAAGTGACTAAGCGCAGTAGCGTTGTAACGTGCACATTCGATCTTGTCGAATGCTGCTATGACTTCGCAGTTGGTTCAAACTTGCGAGACTTGCCTTTGAGCAGACCTGTTAATGGCTGAAAGAGCATAGAACATTCTAGACTGAAGCTGTTGCAATAGTTAATCATACCAAGAAAACGACGTAAACGTTTGAATGATTGAGGCATCGGTTAGTCTACAATAGCTTGTGCCATTTCAGAAAGCGGGCTAATACCGTCGTAATCGATTCGCTGGCTAAGAAAGTCAACAGATGACTAGCAAAAATGCATTTATCGGCGTTGATCGTGATACCAAATTGGGCGAGACGCTTGAAAGTTAAGCGAACATGGCTACGAAAATATCTTCAGTATATGCGTAGACGGAATCAAGATCTACGAGGACTTTGTCGATAAACCACTGAAGTGTGCGCGGCGTTTCGCAGACCTACTGACGAATTCGTAGAGATCTAGCGATGTAGTCATGGCCGTTTTAGGTGTAATTCGGAACGACAGGAATTCGGTAGTACGCTCGGATTTGGCCATAATTAGAAAACAAAAGATTCGCCACGTAAACCTATGGAGAAATCGTGACTATGCGGGATCGGATACCACTCCGGTACCTTAGCGCTGTTCAGTGCACAGTTTTCTCCGCGTAGTCACCAGTGTCCGCTCTACATTTTAGGGACCATGTGGAAAGGAGATGACCATGGGCTTTTGGAAAGTCGGACGATTCCTAAACCTTGCATGTGTTCGAACTCTGCCTTGGCGGTGGCTAGTTTGTCTGGCTATAGCTGTCGAGGTCGGGCAGTAACCGGAGTCCTTACTTGACAGTATGATGCCTGATTTCTGGCTTAGGAACTGGAAATCCGCTTTACCGTTAGTGAAGCACAGGAAACTGGCGTAGCAAATCAGTGAATACATTGTCATTAGGTCATGCCAGTCGAAGACCGATCAAGCTGATCGATGTGACTCTTCTTTGAACAGTATGAGATGTGGGACTGTCACGAGAAATATGTAAAACATGTATGTATGCATGTTATACATGCTGAGGCTGATGTCGCATTCATGATGCTTCTTACCGCAGTTGGGCTAAACCAACGTACACTTAAACTAGGTCTTTTTAATGTGGATAAAATTCACTACATTTTATTTTATTTTTGTTCTGCCTACTGGATAATCTTCTCCCAACTTACACACGTCGCTCATGCAAATTGTGGTAAACTTGCGTAATTTTATCGCGTGGTATTTTAAATGACTTTCGGACATTTTGTACTTATCGCGTATTCACATTTAACCAATTTCTTCCACATGCTCATTTAAGCGAGTATTTATGTCGTCATTTGCGTTTACTTTATTCGATATCGGCATTTCGAATGATTGGCTGTTGTTTGACATCCAAGGTGTGGCTGCGCTTGATGTGCATGTTGACAAGGTGCCTACCTGTCTATTACCCACTACCCCGTCCATCTGGCTCCAGGAGACAGTTGGTCGTTGCTGGAGGGAACGGGGTGCACGGTCCTTGTGGCCGTGCTAGGCTCGAAGAGTGGTTCCATCACTCAGTGTGGAGCGGACTACGGTCCAGCTACCGCCTTGTGTGCGGTTGATTCCCCAGATGCAGTGTGCTTGTGTTTGCCTGTGATGGAGTGTGGGCCGGCTCCGTCGATGAAACGTGGCTCCCATCCGCATGCCTCCCGGTCTTATTCCTTTGGGTTTACACTGGATATGGGTGTGTGGTTGGAGCTGTGGGTGGTGCAGCGCAAGTCATCCATGGTCCCTCTGTAGGCGCAGGCGTCCTGTGGCTGGCCACAGTGACAGGCAAATCCGAAACCGGACGCCGCCAACTATGTTATACAGTCGTACCTTGGGTAGAGTGAAGGCTTACGGGAAACTGTCGCCACCCTTCAATATCTCCAACCGTATGAGACAAGGATGCCTGTTTTCACCTTTCCTCTTCAACTTCGCTATTGACGAAGTCATGAAGATCGCGTTCACGGGACATCACTTAGAAGGTGTGGAACTGCTCCCTCGCGAGCGACTTTCAGGCTTGGAGTATGCAGACGATATTGCCCTCATCTGTGACAGCTCCCAGACTGGCCAAGCAACGCTGGACAGGTTAGCGCTGGTTGTCAGTCGCTTCGGTCTGTGATTTGCACCAACGAGTGCAAAGCTTTCCCCCAAGATTGGCATGGACCGCCTCCTGCTCAAAATTTAACTACCTGGGAAGTTGTATCAGCGCCCTTGGGATCGAAGGTTGGATCACGAACGGTATAGCGAAAACTCGAGGCGCTTTTGCTAATCCTCATCACCTATGGCGCCGGCGCGACATCACTCTAGCCATAAAAGATAGGGTGTACAATGCAGCGGTACGTCCGACCCTACTGTGCGATCTTGAAACCTGACCCCTTAAATTAGCCGACGTTCGACCACCGGTGCGTTCGCGAT